ATCAATTAATGATCATCGAATGTATAATCAAATGACATCAATCATCATCAAAATTCGAAACCACGTAAGACATGCCCATTGTTCAGTCATTCAATTAACACATCTCTAAGATTCAATCATCCAATAACCATATGATACAAATCTATATAACCTCATAAGTGTCAATCATCGATTAACATATGGATGTAAATTAATTTATCCTAATTAACATATAGCCGAATCCACCAACCAACACCACAAACAATCAATCATTAAATGATCCTATAACATAAGGCTAAATAACACTTATGTTCAATCATAAATAAAAAAACACAATATATCTTGTGGTGTAATTGATATTACACTTACCTTATCTCAACACTAGTTAAACCCTAATGTAAGTTTAATCTCAACTACATAAAAAAACATAGATTTTATAGGCTTTGATATGCTTATATGTTTAATTGATGATTGTCTACTTATGATGTTGTTTGATGAATTTTGTTAAGTATTACTTAAGGTTATTTGATTTGTATCCATGTGTTAATTGGTGATTGAACATTTGTGAATTTATATGGATATGCATTCATATGTTTGTTAGATGATTGAACATTGGAGAAGTGTTTATTATATGATCAAACATTGGACATGTCCTATAATGGTTTCAGCTTTGTGTGGTTGCTTGACGTCACTTGTTTATGTATTCATATGACTATTGATTAATTAAATACTTAAGGTCTTACTTGATGATTTTGGATTATATCATCAATTGATGTCACTTGAGGTGTTTCGAACATAGTAATAGTTCACCAAATATAACTCTCGATAATATAGTTGTTTGCCAATGATCACTTCGGAAACATAGCAAACAATAGTTCACCAACGATCACTTCCAAGAACATAACAAGAAATATTTTGCTAAAGATCAATCCCGGTAATATAACAACAATTAGTCAAAGATCACTATGGTAATATAGCGATAGATCACTCTTGAAAACATAGCAAGCAATAGTTTGCCAAAGATCACCCTTAGTAATATAGCAACAGTTCACCTAGAATCACTTCTATGAGCATTGAAAATCATCAAGATATTTTCTAGGAATATAGCAATGATTCACTAGTTTGTTTGTTTGTTTGTTTTTTTTTTTAATGAACGTTTCTTTGAATGATTAATAAGATGCCTTATTTTTTTTACGAAGGTCAACATAACTAGGGGGTGATCCTACTAAACAATCGAGTCTTCTTCAAGATTCACTTACTCAAGACTTAGGAAGGCTAATAATATACCCAAGATTAATGGCCTACATATGTCGCTTAACCAAGCCTAAAAGAATGAAAATCCTCCCGTAAATACAACTACATCGGACCCCATGTGACAAAATCTCTATTAGGCAGGATTTACCCATCTATGCCTCTTAGTATATCTCGCTAATCCTTGTTACAAAGGAATGATATGACAAACAATCATTCCGTATGCTCCAAACATGCCTTACACTAGAAAATGAGTGTTTCTCTAAGAAGATCACTAGGCTTGTTGTATTTCGACGATGTGGTCGATACATTTGAAAACAAATACCAAATTACCTTTATAAAGGAAATTTTGATATCTAATTTCTTGACATAGAAGATATACATTTAAACACTATAAAAGAACAAGCCATAGGAACATAAAAACAAGTAGACTCTCTCTCTTAAAACAAAAGAAAAAACATTACTCCATACAAAAAGGAAATACCCTTTACTAGCCAAAAAAAGGCATTAAACACTCTACATAAACTAAAAAAAAAAAAAGATAATTTTTTTATTTTTAGGTTTGATAGATTTAAAAAATAAATTGATGGATTTTTTAGATAGAAATTTTTTTAGAGTTTTTTTTTAATATTTTTATCAAATAATAAACTCATTTCATAGTTTTTAATGAGTTTGATTCTTTTTTTTTTTTTTTTTTCATGATCAAGTCAAGTTCTTTTCTATTGCATTTGAAAGAAAAAAAAAGGTTTTTGAGGTTATGTCACTTTTAAACACTAACATTCGACTATTATTTTTTTATTATACTAAAAAATTCCTTATATTAGAATTTTTTTTCCTATCAACCGTTTATTTCATTAATTATGAGATTAATTTTACTATTTAATAACTATAGCAATCAATGTAATTTAACTAATTAATATTGATGAAATGAGACTCTTGTTATTCTCTTGTAATTTAATCAAAGGGTTATCGTACAAATAAGAAAAATAAGAATATGTATGATTATGAACATTAGTGATTTCTTAAATCCTAATATATTGATAGAAAAAAAGCATCCTCGATAATATTAGTTTTAATTAATCAAAAATCAATATTTTTTTATCAATAATATATATCTTGAAAGATAATGATTTCATTTAAATTTTGGATAATTACTAAAATACCTTCTAAAAAATCTTCTATCTAAAAAATTCACTATTTTATTTTTAAATCTCTCAAATATAAAATACTATTTTTAAATCTCACAAGCCTAAAATAATATTTTTCTTACTAAAACACCCAATAATTAACACTAGTGTTAATTATTGGGTGTTTTAGTAAGAAAAATATTATTTTGGGTTAGGAAGATTTAAAAATAAATTTGTGGGCTTTTAGATAAAAGATTTTTTTATAATTTTTTTCTGGTAATTATCCCAAAAAGATATCGTACATAATTTTCATTACGTAACCTATTAAGATTATATTTCTCCTCTTTTTGTATGCGAACTTAGCCATTAGCAAAGTCTTCCTAAACCGAAAAGGAAGATTTTATTTTGTAAGTATTGTCTCTACAATCGTTAATTTATAACTCTTCATTACCATAAGATCGGTTAAGAGAAAAGCTTATCCATCCATCCAATAGACCAAGAATCTATAACCTCAAGAAAAAGTTTATTCATCTATCCAATAAATCGATGATCTACGGGCTCATCTCTAACTATGTGATCTGTCTAGATTGCTTAATAGGTATAATGTATTTAAACCTCCTTATGTCTCTATTTAGAAAAGAGTGAAAGATAGAGACTTTGTATTGAGCCTCTAGTGTTTTTGTATTCTCCTATTATCAAGCTAATAATACTTTCCTCTCGCTCGTGGAGTAGGCAATTTGTCGAACCATGTAAATCATGTGTGTTGATAATTTGTTTAGTTTTATCTTTTGATTATTATTTGTCATTACTTGTCTTGTTTTCACTATTTATCATAACATGGAACATACCTGCCTTGGTCCAAAAAAAAAAAAAAATGCAAGATGATGGACCTTGTAAGTGGGGGAGCAAGTTCTAGTGCTATTGAGATAATTTTTTCACTAGCTAGCTACAAATTCTTCTACTACTAAGATGTCTTATTTACTAACGATAAATCACTCTTCCACTCTAGCTTAGTTTTTTTTTTTTTTTTTTAAGTTATTTCATTTTGATCCTTAAAAATTTAAAATAAAAATTTTAATCACCTCACTCGATGCACTAGACATGTCTTTTTTTTTCTTTCATTTGGTTTTTTCTTTACTTTTTTCCATCAATTTATGTTCTTTTTATTATTTGATTGGGTGTTAAAATTTTGAAAAATCAAAATTTTCTTTGTTTTATTTTTCATCAATTTAGGTTCTTTTTTTTTAATTGGGTGTTAAAATTTTAAAAAATCAATCGTAACTTTTTTTTCATATAAACCGACGATTATATAATATATCTTTTTATATTTTAAAATTAACATATACTTCAGACTTATATTACTCTTATTATTTAAATTTTGTTTTTTGAATTTATCATTTTTTTAATAAAAATTTGCATCCAATTAATATTTTTATATGAAATTTTATTTACCGATATTATATAATTTAATTTTCTCTATATTTGAATTTTAGAATAAAATTTTAAAACATAATTTTTTTTTAAAAAATAAATTGGTATAACATATATCATGAATTCTTAGAAGTTTTACATGATAGTTGCATACATATAAATATATAATTATTTTATTCTAAAAGGTTAAATGTGTATTTCAAATAATTTGTCTCGGTTCACTAGATATGGTCAAGACGTATAAAAAAATTATTGGATCGTTGATTTTGTTAAAAATTAACTATACATCTTCCAAAATAATATAAATTATTTACTATAAATATATTTTTTTAATATTATAGAACCAATTTACTTAAAATAAAATAATTAAAATAATTTTTTAAAGGAACCAACCAATTATTCAAATGCAGCTTTTATGCTAATTTTATTGATTACTAAATTTAAAAATTAACTATATATCTTCCAACATAATAAAAATTATTTACTATAAATATTTCTTTTAACATTATAGAACCAATTTATTTAGAATAAAATAATTTTTTTAAAGGAACCGACCAATTATTCAAATACTCGTTTTTTATACTAATTTTATTGATTACTAAATATATATACATCAATCCATAAAAAAGAATTATTTATGTTTTTTAAGAAGTTTTATAAAAACATTAGAAAAAATTAATTAAATAAAATTTTATAATTAAAAAAACTTAAGATTTTAAAATAATTTTGTTTTATCGAACTCGCGACGTAGTGCGGGCAACTAGCAAGTGATCTCAAAAAGGTTTGATCGAATTATTTTAAGATTGGACAAACCTCAAAAATGCCCTCAACTATTAGGTTAGTATCAATTTTGATCCCAAACAATTTTACATCAATTTAATTTATGATCAAATGTTAATTAGGGTTAGGACATGTGAAAGCATCTAATTAGCCCGAAAGAGTTGTAATCCGAGAATGTTTTCACCATGCTATTTCCGCCTCCTGATTTTTCCTAATATAATAGCTTCTTCTTCTTCTTTTTTTTTTCCTTGTAAAGAGGCTGACCTGATCAAATCAGTATGGTACAGCAACATATGTTTATTTGATCCGCCCTATAACCTGGCTTACTGAAACTACAATATAATTACATAGTATGGCACATTGTTTGGAAGTACAAGCATGACGCCTCAGTTTTTGTGATCATCAGGAAACTTGAACGCACAATTCATCAAGCTATACAATTGAATTTTTAGAACTGGTACTTGACCTGATTGTGTATTCTGCTACAAGTTTTGCAAAAGATGATGACTTTTTTTCTAACAATCTTGTTGGAGAATCATATTCCTCAATGAGCCCTGCAATATTCATGATCGCAAGTACTTAAAAAAATTGAGCATTTCAACGCAATTTCGAGGCATGGTTACATCACTGTTTCAATACTCACCATGACTCAGAAGCAAAACCATGTCACTATCAAGAACAGAAGTTATCCGATGTGCAATGGTTATAACTGTACTGTCAGAGAATTGTTGCCTGAGGGTTTGCTGGATAAGATTATCGGTGGATGTGTCAACCGAAGCAGTAGCTTCATCAAGGACTAACACCTTACTTTTCTTGAGTAGCACACGCCCAAGACAGAATAGCTGCCTCTGACCCATACTCCAGTTCTCTCCGTTCTCGTAAACTACCGAATCGAATGACCATTTGCAATGTCAGTAAATTCCATGTCATTATCAAGTTCACGAAGTTATCCCTAAAAATTGTATAGTGGTGGCTGGTGAGAAAGAAAAACCTGTGGAATCTAACTTCCTTTCTTTCTTCTTGACTTCATCTCCAAGTTGGCACTTGTCTAGAGCCTAGAACCATTAAAAACTCAAGTTAGTTTGTGTGCCATCCATCAATTACCAATCCTGGAAACATTGCAATTAAATCAATTATAAGGAAACACACAAACCCATACTCGCACTTGTATATATATATATATAACTATATATTAGATACACAGACCCACCCCTTCCTCTCTCTTTTAGGCAAACATGATAGAAACAACACACCTCCCAGATCAGTTCGTCAGTGTACTCTTCAAGTGGGTCCAGATTACTTCTTACAGTCCCTTCAAACATGGTTGGATCCTGAGGAATAATGCTTAGTCTTGACCTTAAATCATGCAGTCCAATCGATGAGATATTAAGGCCATCAATCATAATGTGACCAGCTGCAGGTTCGACAATACGAAAAAGAGTCTGCATGAGAGTTGATTTACCACTGCCTGTTCTCCCTACAATCCCACTTTTCTTTCCTCCAGGGAAAGTGCATGTAAGACCGCGGAGCACAAGGGGCATGTGTGGGGCATATCGGACCTGCATCATACCACATATATCGACAAAACAAGTAGCAATAACAACTGGAGCAATCAATGGAAAATACAAAAGTTACCTGCAGATTGTTGATATCAATTTCACCATGGGATGGCCATGAACAGCCTGGCCTGTTTGCTTCTACTACAAGAGGAGGCTCACTAGGAATAGACGTGTATTGAAGAATTCTCTCTACGGATATGATTCTGTTCTCACAATCACATAAATTCCATATCACTGAAGCTTGTAACATGTTTAGGCTGAGTCCATATGTTACAGCTAAACCTGCAATGGCTTTAGAAACGAAAAGCAAAAAGAAAAAAAAAGGTTTATTTCAAGTTTGGCAACTATATGATAAGTTCAAGCAAATAAAGAATAGATATTATACATGAACTACATACCTGGATCAAAGCCGCTTGGAAAGGAGACTAAGAAAGCCAAAGAGAAAGCAAAAGTAACAGAAGAGAGCATATCCAGACGGAAGCAAAGCCACTCCATTGCACCAGCAATATGAAATTTGGGCCGAGAATATGCGTCTGTAACTTTCATATTTGTTTCTTGGAACCTTGATTGCTGATCAAAGCTCCTGATAGTTGCTGCTCCCAACATTGTTTCAGAAAAATGTTGTACAACTGGAGCTTTGCATACTCCGATCAAACGGGAAAGTTCTCTTGCTGAAGCTATGTAATATCTCTGCGTGTATTATAACTCTCATTTTATAATTTTGTTTTTAAGGTATAAGGACAAAAATTGTCCTTATTCTATTGCAACTTGACAAATTCAAATCTTTATTATCAATTTACTTAAATTTGAATATCAAAATATCTGTTTTTAAACAAATTTTATCTAAATTCATTAATTATAATGGCCAACTTAGTTTACCATTAACTTTTTTTCTATTGTTTTTTGTTATTCTAGTATTAATTTTTTTTAAAAAAAATGTTTTTTCTCCATTTTTCAAGAGACTTTCTTTTCATTTAAAATTTTCAAATATAATCCTTTTAATTTTTCATAATCAATCAAATTTTTATTCACATATAATTTTTAAAATTTTTTAAAAATAACTCTTACGTAGTATCATTATCTATTTAAACAATCAACTTCTACCATTAATAAAATGCAAATATCTATTGGTTGAATTTGATTGATTAAAATTATCAAATAATTAATTTTAACCAAAAATTTTCTTTTTTCATGCTAATAAAATTATTCTTGTGATTGTCAATCATTAAATTTTAAATATAATTGTATTTATTTTATATTTTTTTTATCTTCACATGTTTTATAGGATTTTTTTTCTCATAATTGATCCAAATATATAGCATGCATTTAAAATTGTTAGAGATAAAAAACTATTTTTTAGAAACTTTTCTAATTTTATTTTATTTTTAGTTTTTTAAAGATAGGTTTAAAAAAAAGAAAACTCTTTTTTAGAAAGAAAAAAAAGTTTAGTGATAAATTTAATGAAATATTTATTTATTTATATGTAAATCGATGAAAAAACTCTTGAAAAATGAAGGAAAAACATTTTTAAAACAGAAAAAAAAGTAACCGTTACAACTAATGGTCAAGGTTGACCATTAAAACTAATAAATTTAGATAAGATTTGTCAAAAAATCGATATTTTGGAATTCAAATTACATAAATTAATAATAGAAGCCTAAAATTGATAAATAAGAATAAAACGGAAGCAATTTGTATTGCAAAACACTCGCGCGCGTGTGTGTATGTGTATAATGGCCAATTAAAATGATTTTAGGAAAAAGAAAATGGCCAATTAAAAATGAATAAGGAATAAGAAAATAAGGAGAATTAGGCTTGGTTTGTTATGGCTATGGCATATTTATTTAAGTTGTTTTTTAACTTTTGACTTAATTCATAAATATATTTAGTTATAAATAATTTTTCAATTAAATAAAAAGTTTTTTTTTTAAAAAAAGAGTTAAATTCTGCTATAATAAAAGTTAAGATTTTTAACTTTTAAATTATAATTTAAAAATTTAGGCTAAACCCACTATTTACACGTGTGTTTTCACCAACTCTTGAGAATAGCCTATCTATAATTAATTAGATCAATTGAATATCTATATATTTTTTTTAATACAATTTTACTAAATAAATTATAACTTAAAAATCTAGGCTAAACCCATTATTTGCACCCTATATTTTCACCAATTTGTCATAAAAACCCATTTGTAATTAATTAGGTCAATTGAGTTCCTGTACTTCTTTATTTTAGTCAATTGAATATAATTTAACTAAATTGAAAAATAATTTGCTTAATTAAAGAGGGTGGAATGGATGATGATATTGACATGAAAGAAAAGAAAGTTGATAATAATGACTAGAGTAGTGAAAAAGAGTACTTGATTAGTTGAAATAAATTTTCAATTTTAGAAAATTATACTCAATTGACTAAACTTGAAACTATATATGCTTGATTGACAGAATTGATAATATAAGGACTTTCTTGATGAATTGGTAAAAACACAGAGTAGAAACTGTGGGTTTAGCCAAAAATACAGTTTAAGTCCTTTTCTATCAAGCATTCTTCTAAGTTGACTCATCTTTGTCATAAGTTATTTATTAAAAACAAATTTTGAATCATACCTCAAGTCAAAAGTTATTTTTCAGGCCACGCCAAGCCAACTCATATCATCACAAGGATTACCTGATACCAGATGCAGACAGCAATCATAGGGATGAAAACGATAAAAACTTGCCATGCTGCCTGTGACATCACTGCAAAGATCCCTAGAAGCTGGATAATTGAGAAGGCAAGTGCCCCGACTAGATATGGAATTCGAGTTTCAACTGCGCTTTGATCAGTAGAAGCCTGTATGAGAGGAAATAGATCAGATCAATCAAGTGAAACTAATGAAATTGGTTATTTTTTAAGCAATTAGATTTGAGAGGATCAGAAATGCAGAAATTTCTTACTCTATTTAGAATTCGTCCACTAGGGGTTGCATCGAAAAAGGACATTGGAGCTCGAAAAATGCAGAGATGCATTTTATTGAAGAGTAGAGTAGCAGTTTTGTACCCGGCTGTTGCATGAAGCATGGCTCTAACTAAAATGCAAATCGAACTTCCAATAGCCAACAAGAGGTAAACGATTATTAGTGTAGATCCACTGACAACAGGCTTAACATCCTTCGACGCAGGAGTTGCCAATGCCATCCAGTAGTTGCTACCAATTTGAAGGATCTGAAAGAGAATCTGTGCCGATAATATAAAGGGCACAAGAGCTCCTCCATATGCTGTTGTGATGTACTTCCAGTAGATAGGAAACCCAACGCTACCTTTCTCTCTTTCTTCTTCTTGAATGAGCTGTGCTTTTGGCCCTGCTACCTGATCTTCTTTACCATTTCGAGAATCCCTATTTCCTCCTTTCTGCACTATCTCATCCCTACTACCATTTTCTTTTTCAACAATTTCATTTTCAGAAGCCGGTCCTGCTTGTTTGGAATCAAGTGCTGATAAAGCTGCCTTATGTGAACCTACAAGTTCCATGAAATCAGATCCTGAACAAAGAATGTCATTATATTTTCCCGCTTGTGCAATCTTTCCATCTTTCATTACCTAACCGGAAGGTACAAGTTGAATCAAATAATGCATTCGATGGGACGATAAACCCAGATGCAATGAAGAAAACAAATGTGTATTATTCACAAATATAAGATCAGCCACAGGTAAGAACTCAACTTGATGAGTAACATAAATAACTGTTTTTGAAGTCAAAAGACCAAGTAAAACTTCCTGTCATCCAAAATTAAACAAGTATAGTTTATGAGAAATGAGGCCTCTGTTAAAAACTAGGCATGAAGAAACTGCAAATGAAACTAAATGTGTTCGATTCTTGATCTTTTCTACAGAAAATTAAAATTGAAAAGTCATTAATAATAATAATAATAATAAAAATAAAAAAATGAGACGTTTCACCTTAAATAAATGCGATCCCGTATGAGCATCCACAGCACTGAAAGGGTCATCAAATAGATAGATATCGGCATCCTGGTAAAGAGCACGTGCAATCTGTATTCGTTGCTTCTGTCCACCACTCAAATTTATACCCCTCTCACCGATAAATGTTTGATCACCGAATGGAAGGATTTCCAGGTCCTTCTTCAGGGAACACGCTTCAAGCACCCTCTCATACCTTTCTCTTTCCATCTCCTTACCAAACAATATGTTCTCTTCTATCTTACCACTCTGTATCCAGGCTGACTGAGCAACATAGGCCGTTCTCCCGCACAACTTGAGAGTCCCTGAGACCTTGTGCAGTTCCCCCAAAATGCAGGAAAGTAAGCTTGACTTGCCTGAACCAACAGTACCACAAACAGCTACTTTCATGCCACGGAACACTCTCAAGTTAATAACCTTTAATGTGGCACTAGGTGAAGACAAATCCCAAGAGAAATTTCCATTAGTAATCTCAATTGTTGTATCAGAGCTTCCAATCGGAAGCTTCTCTAAAGCGTCAGACTGCAAGTCATCAAGACAAAGGAAAGAGGCAATTCGGTCAAGAGAAATCTTGGTCTGAACTATCATAGAAATTGTATCGGGAAGATTATAGATTGGCACTTGAAGAACCCTGAATGTAGCAAGTGCAGATAAGATCTTCCCTGATTCAAGTGGGATACCTATAAGCATACAAGCACCAAAAGTGGCCACAGCCACAAGAGTAGGAGCAAGCCAGAAGACAGAATTGATCATTGCCGAATTATAAACATATTTCTTCAACCATCCTGTTTCTACGTCTCTGAGTTCAATAATCTTAGATAAAAACTTCATTTCCCACCCCTGAAGCTTAAGAATTCTCATATTCCTTAAATTTTCTGCAGTTGCCCTCATTCTTTTATCTTTTGATTCCATTAACTTGTCTTGAAACTTTTCTTGTAATCTACCCAGAGGATAGTTTTTCAACATGACAACTATTGTTGCAACAAAAGCAGCAACCGATGCAAGCCCAAGATTTTCATATAGTATCAATAAGGCCAAACCAACTTGCAAGATGATCAGCCATGGATCGTGCATGTACCAACTAAAGTCACCAATTCTCTCTGCATCAACAGTCATGATATTGATGATTTCACCACTAGTTTGGCCCTGCTTCGACTTACTGGAGAGGGTCAAACCTTTTGTGTAAATCATCGTGGTTGTTACTCCACGGAGCCTAAGTCCAATTTGTTGCAACCTAAAGATCCAGTGCCTCTGTGAGATGCACTCTACAAGTTTGGCAACAAAAAAGGTTGAAGCTAAAATATATCCCTGATTTTTGTGTTCTCCTTGTCCATCAAGGCATTGAACAAAAGCATCGATAAGGTATGGACCAACATAAGAAGTGGAAGTGTATATTATGGCCAACAAAGCTGTCCGTAGAATTTCCTTCCAAGCTGAAAAGAACAATGCCTTGACGAGCTTGAAAGTGGTAACCCTACTGGCTGCACCACTATATGACTCTAGCTTATTTCTAAAAGCTGGGAATCTTCTAACTACACTATCAAGACTATCAAGTTGAGGAACATCTTCAAGGTCCAAAGCTTTCTTATTGCCGAAAGCAATTAGGGAATTCATCCAATAGAAGGTAAGAATACTGAACGGACCAGCATTTGCATAAGGAGTCACGGCATCAACCCTCTCTTGACTTATTTGACTCCAAAATTTTGCTTTTACTGCTAGAAATATCATCATTCAAAAGGGGATGCTCAAGAAGGCTATCTTGAGTCTCATGTCTCAAGAACCCAAGATAGCAGAGAAACAAAGCAGTGAACACAGAAACTATATCAGATACTAAATACCATACCTCTGTGAACTCATGTTTGTGAAAAAGAAGAAAATCTACAACAAGGCAATAACAAGAAATTGAGGAATAAAAACCCCACTAAACTCTCAATAAAACTGAGAACCCTTTCTCACCTGAATTAAGGGTATACAAATAAACAGAAAGGGCACCCCAAGAGAGTGTTCTAAGGACTAAATAAAAAAGTTTCACTAGTTTAACTTCAGACCAACCATTTTTATACCAATAAAAGTAGCTCAGCAAACACAAGATAAGATTAAACACTGAAACACCTAAACAGCAGAAAAAAGTCTGCTTATACCACAAGAACCTACTGTTGTTACTAAACCTCTCTCCAGACTCCTCACCACCATCACCCCTCTTGAGTTTCTTCCACACTAATGAGGCAAATAAAGCAAGTAACAGAACTAGGTGCAATGAACCAGAAAACCCACGTAGGAAAATGGGATTAAGGAGAAAGTTAGCACCAGAAAACATTATAGAGGGTGAGTTTGGAAGACTTGATAAGAGACCATGCTTTGTTGAATCAAAGAGTTGCATATTTTGTGAGCACTAGACGGAAAGATCAAGGATTCTCATTTCCTAAATATTGTGTTCGCTATAGTATCTATGCAGATGGAAAAGTTTAATCTACCAATAATAATAAAGAGCCCATTGGTTATAAAATATCTTTAGTCAACAGCAAAATATATATATATATATTTTGGTTTTTTTTTTGGTAGTTAAATCTTTGGTCATGTTAATTATTAAAATAAAGACAGGTGTCATATGTTTTAGGATTTTTATTATTGTTTTAATAATTTACATGTTTAGAAGTGTTTTTTCTCTCTCCCTAGAATACAAGTGGTTATTTTAAATTGATCAACAAATAATAATAATAATAAAACTTAATTTAATTTATAAAAAAATTCAGAATTCAAATAAAAATAAACAAAAATTAAATACTATTTTTGTATTCTGTTGACTAAAAAATTAACATACTTTATTATTATGATGTATATATTAAGAGAAATAGCTAAATTCATGTGTTTGTTGCGATGATTAAGGAAAAAATGTTTCATTTTTTGATTCTTTATATTTAAGTTTTGAAGCTAATGCTTGGATCGCAATTCATTAAAAAATTGTAAATGTACCAAGTGTTGGTTGGAAAGATATATTTTTATAATAGTTAAAAAAAATAGTTTTGATTGAATCTAACTCGAAAATATCATTATTTTATAATAATAATAAAAACAACTACCATCACTGTTAAAATTAAAATGAATATATTTTGTTATTGTTAAAAATTTGGAAAGTCTAGTATAAAACATTTAGATTAGATGACATCAATTAAATGGTAGACAAATTAAATAAGTCCATACGACACATAAATGCAGACGAAAGTGGCTGGATCTCTCTGTTACAACACATACAGGTCAAGGGGAAAACACATGTCGTTAATTATTTAATTCAAATTTAAAATTATTTAATTAGAAAACTTTTATATATAATTAAATAATTATATTCAAATTAAACGACACTAGTAAGAATGGGAATATGCAACAGGCGTCAAGTAGTCCAAAAAGTCATGAGTGACTGCGACTGCGAGTCCAGGTTTTATAAATAAAAGGCCAACCTTGAAACAAGTGGCTTTCGGAGGGTGCATGGGTGAGTGAGTGAGGATCCAAATTCAAATTGTCCGTTTCTTGGTCGAATCATGACAAAATTGTTTCATGACAACTATTTAATCTAGGATTTTCCAACCTCGTGTTTGACAACGAACATAAAAGATTTTATTTATTTATTTATTTATCCAAGTTGAGTGGTAATTCTTAGCATAGTTGTTATTTTTTTTTTTTTAAGAAACCGAGAGGTTATCCTAACAACTTTTGTTAATAATAAAAAAAAACAAAGTAATACAAAAAGGAGATAAACCAACCTTATCCAAAATGAAAGTACATGGGAGCTTAGACCCAGTTTCTTACAAAAATCAATCTAGTCTATAACTATAGAAAATGTATCGACCTACAAATTGATTTAACGAGATAAAGATAAAGTTGAATAAACATGAAAATTACAAAGATCTTTATGCTTGTGTGCCTTTGTCGCCATCAATCTATCAACTACCATATTCTACTCTTTATGTACATGAAAAATATTTATATTTCCTAACAATCCTGTACAATTGTGAATGTACTAGGACTATTGCTAGGACATAGACCTTAAACCTTGAGCAACCCGAACAACTACTAGAGAATCGACTTCTACCTAGAATGTCCGAAGACTTAAGTCTCGACAAAGTAGTAAACCATCATGCAATGCTAGTAATTTACCTCTCGTGTTAGTCCCTCTACCATAAAAAATCGAAATACCTACAACAAACTTACTTCTATAGTTTCGATTACTCTACCTCCTATACGAAGCCTTTTACCGAGGAACTATCGGTGTTCAATTAATAATCACCTTATATTAGAGGATTCCACTTAAGCCACTTGCCCTTTGGCTTAATGACAAACAACAAAAGAAATTTTATTGTTTGCAATTTGAGAATTATCGATGCACTTAGTAGCCTTTTTAGGTTTATAAATAGAATACAAATTAAATAACCACAACTTTACTTATCGAATGACAAAACTAGAAGACATAGGATAATCCTCATACCTAGTTTTACATATATTCTTCCATAATTGCCATAAGATAAAGAAACAACAAGCTACCCAACGATATACTTGCTTGATTGTCTATAGAGTAACTCCATCTTTGCAATAACTCTATAGTGGAAACATACCGAGTAACAAACTCTAAAAATTACATGAAAGAAAGTACACATCGTGACTCGCCATGTTAGAATCTAAAAAAGATGATCAATGGTTTCGCTTTTTACGTAGTGCAATAACTCATAGAAACCACTGGGATAAAGAGAGCTTGAATAAAGCCCTAAGAATCCATTTCCACCTAAAGCCATTAACCTTTGAAGGAATACGGGACTTCCATATTTTGCTAACCCACAAAACCAAATTATGATACATATGAGTATACTTCCAATAAGCCTTTACTTGAAATTCTCCCAACGATGTGAGTTTGCAACTCGACCGATCCTCTTCTAACTCGAATTAAGATACTAAGCTCTACGAAAAGCTTCATAACAACAAACAACACATAAACAACCCTAGGTTGAGATAATTAAAGTATAAAACACCCTCAAACAAACCTCAATCAGTCCAAAAACAACATCCAAATCAATATCAAATCATAATTCTCAAACTCCTCAAACACACAACCAATCAAAACCATTACTAAACACACAATAACGACACCCAAAATTAGGGTAAATGCGTTCAACATTTGATGAGTGTATAATTAGCATGATTTTTATGCTCTATTATATTGAACTTTTTAGTGTTTATTTTATTATATTATGTTATTTAAGAATATGATGACGAGTTTTAGGTTTTGTAGGAAAAATGATGAATTAAAACAAAAAAGAGAGAAAACTTCAAAGTGACTTAGAAGAGTCATACGATCGTGTGAAAAAAAAGAAATAGCTACTAATCGTGTGATTTACGGGAAAAAACCATATAGATTGCTTAGCTATACAAGCCACATGGGTAGAAGCATTCTATATGACCAAAGGAAGAAATCTCGGTCCTATGAATGTCCCGAAGCATAGCATAACCCAAAGAAAAAAAGATCATATGAATAGAAGACATTGAAAATGGTTTGTAGTACAAAGTCACACGCTCATGTCTCCAAGGCAAAGTCGGTATACACGGACGGAAGAGATTCAACGCGATTTGAAGAAGAAGTTTATACGGGCAAAAGAGAAGTAATACGAAATGAAGAACAAAGGCACATGATCGCGTGCCTTGGTTATCAAATCGTGTAATATTGATTTTTCATGGCTTCAAACTGTATAACATTAAGCAACAAACCATGTAACTTTATGTGTTAAATTGTGTGATCATGTAGAGTCGACACATACATGATGTAACTATAGTTTTAGGTATAAATAATAAAGGTAGGGTATTATTTGAGAATCCCCACTTTTTTGCAGCCATCATTTATAAAAATTCTCTCTTTGTAATTCATTGTGATCAATTAAACTTTATTCTTAGTTGAATCAAGTTGAAGCTTTTGATTAAATCACCGAGATTATGGGTTTTATTTCTAAACTTATCTTATTTTGATATTTTTTTTATATGATTGGTTTATAGTTGTATGATTAAATTGATTAGAGTGTATGCTAGTTGTTTAGTCATATTGACTTATTGCTAGCTAAGTATTCAAATCCATATAATTACTTATCTAAACTTGCTTGTGGTAGTAACTAAGGGTTGATGATTATTTTTCACATTTTGTTCAATTCTTTGGAAAACATAGGACTAGGTTACATTTTCTCTAACATTTAAGAAGGTGGTCTATCTTTTCTTGTCTTTCTCTCGTTTAATATTGTTATAGCATTAAATCTATCTAGCATTTAGTAGGTTGTTCAATAGGTAGGGAATTAATTGGGTATCGTAATTCGGTTAACGACTAAGTAAGAAAAGATTAGAGTCAACATACATGTTGTTGTCTTATGATGAATATTCATATTTAGGATAAGTAGTTATTTAATCGATGATCGGAGACCAAACTAAAAGTGGATACTAAAGTTCTACCAAGATTTCCTTTTATATTGTTATTTCAATTTACTTTATTTGATTTCAAACACCTTACACACAAAACCACCCCTTTATACAAAAAGAACACTCAAACAATAAAAATGATTAATTGAGCCCCTTTCTTTGTGGGTTCAACTATTACCTATTCTAACTATAATCTTGTGATTGGGTATAGTAAGGAAAACATATAAATTACTACTTTATTGGTGGTAGGACATGCCGTCAAATTTTGGCATTGTTACGATCGAAGTTTATTATTTTTTTGGTATTTTGATTGTTCTTATGTTTTTGTTATTGTTAGTATATGATTAGGTCTCAATCGAGAGAGTTGATTTTTAATCCTAATCCGAAAGAGAACCGAGCAAGTTGAGAAGAGAAGCTAGGTTAGCTTCAATGGAAAGAATTGATTCATCCAAAATAGTGGTTTAATTGTGCATAACCATAGTTTTTGAGTTCTAATCATCGAGTGACTCGAAAGGAGAAAACATAGCTATAAACAGGGCAAACATGACACTAAAGGAGCTAGTCGCTTTAGACTTTAATCAGCAGACTGTTCTATATTGAGTTCCCTAATCTCAAGGTGGCATTTGAACTAAAATCAAGACCGATACACTTGCTTCCTCAATTTTAAGGTCTAGTTGCGAAGTCCCTCATAAATATTTAAAAGAGTTTTATATGGTTTGCTCAATTATGAGACCGGATGGAATATTGGATGAGTAAATCAAATTGAGGGCATTTCTCTTTTTTGTTGGATAGGAATGCTAAGGATTGGCATATGATCTCCCTATAGGATCAATTGATTCTTAGAATAAAATGAAGCAAGCGTTTTTGATGAAATACTTTCCTACTTCAAAGGTCGTGAGTATAAGAAAGAAAATCTATGGGATTCAATAGTTTACT